TTTGTATATCGATATCAAATATGATAATTGTGGACGATGTTATGTAACAACTGGATTGAAGAATGCTGTGTGTAAATTTTGTAGGTTAAGTATTCAGATAAAAAAAACGACTCACCTTTTTTTAGAATTAGGTGGGTTTATAAATGAAAATAATAATCAAGATATCACAAGGTGGTCAGAATCTGCTAACTTTATTTTCAACTACTAGATTGAAAAAATTCAAAATATAAATGAGATGTACCAGTGCCAATAGAAGGATATGAAGATAAAGTATTTTATGTATGGTTCGATACACTTATTAAATACTTTAACAGGTAAAAGATTTGATCTGATTAAATATAATAGGTTTTATACAGTTTATGGGTAAAGATAATGTTCCATTCCATTCGATCTTGTTTACTGTAATGTTATCAGCATTTAAAAAAAATTTAACAAGTGGTTCTTTAATAAATGAGAATAAGAGCTTAGTTGAAATGGTAAAAAATTTTTACTATTCATAATAAATTAATATATGCCTAAAATTAGTAAAAACAAGTTCTTACACAATTTTACTTTCAAAAGTTCAACTCAAATTATCTCAACTTAACTATTATTTATTACATTTTAAAGTATAATAAAAATATTTAATTAAAAACATATAATCTTTAATAAAAACATTAAAAGAGTTTAAAATATTATTTAATAATCCATCTTAACAATAGTTTTCTTTTTCCAAAATAATCTCCATGTAAAAAATATAGTAATAAGATAAAGTATGAAACATCCTATAAATATATTTTCTATCTCAATTTTATCATCAAAAATAGTAAAATCTTCCTCATTATCATCTAATAAAGATATTTTTAAGCGGTTAAAAAAGTCATCTGTTCCATAATAAATGGTTGAAATAAAAAGACTTAAAATAATACTGTAAAAAATAGATAAAATTATATTAACAAGAATATCTCGAACAAACTTTACATATAATGATAGAATAAATAAGATGGTAGATGTTATTAAATAAAAAATATCATATCTAGTTATATTAAAAACTACAGTTATATCCCTACTACTTAAAAAAGATTTGAAACATGTTTTCAGACTCATGATTACTAGAACTAAGAATACCAAAGTCTTATCAATGCTTATCAATCTATTAAATGATGCGTGTACTATTATGTAAATTGATAATTCTACACAAGGAGAAAAAAATTTTAATACAAAATTTTTTGAAGTGCTATCTAAAATAATTAAAAAAACATTTAAAATCGTGAATACGGCGAAACATTTTTTCTCTTTTAATATATCTATTTCAAAATAATTTGTAAAGTTGTCAACAAAACGTTCATTTTTTTGTTCTTTATAATATTCTTCCCAATCATAAAATATCAGTAAAATTAAAATCGATGTTAATAATTCGTAAATTAAAAATCCTCCTGTTATTGGTATAGCAATGCCTCTAATATGATAATTAGAAGCAAATAATCCAATTACAATACAAAATACTACAATCACAATCATAAGAAAGTAAACTGTTTTAAAGAGTTTAGTTTGTTCATGTTTATTAATAATATTGAATATATTGTTAACAGTAGCTTTGATAAATAACGATTTAAATATAAATATATTGTAAAACTGCTTTAAAATTTCTCCTATTATTTTAGAAAAAAGCTTCATTTTAGGGGAAATTTTTTTTTTAAAAAATTTACTATTTATTTTTACATTCAAACCAGCAATAGATTTTGCTACAAAATATCATTATAGAATTATCTTTTTGATCAAAAAATAAACAATAATTATAAGTTGAGATTCTGTATTTTAACTGTAAACTATTCATTTTCTAATTCTTGCTTGCTTTAAGAATCTTTTTTCTAATTTCAAAATTTTTTTATTATATAGTCTTAGAAAATAAACTTTTGTTACTCTTTTTTTTCAATTAGGATATGATCTTTATAGTAAAAGATTAGAATATTAGATGTTAAAATCGGTATAAGATGTACAAATAAATTTATTCTTTCTCTCACTACTGCTCATGTGCTGATCCATATCTTTCTTATTATCAAAATTATTAGTTATCAATTTATCATCTTCTCCTCTCTCTATCTCTTGACTATTAATTTTTATGGGATAAGATATTTTTATCATGTTTATAATTTCAAATTTATATTTGTCTGTAAGTATATTTTCAAGTTTTTACAGCACTAAAATCTAAAAAATTGATCTCATTTATTAAATAATTATACTTTTTGAGAATAGCTCAATAATTTTTTGAAAGTTTACCACATTTAAATTTTTAAAAAATCAATCTTATTAAAAATATTTATTGACATTTTTATATTCAATTAAAACTGTGATAATAAAAAATTAAAAAATTAAAATTATATTTATATTGTTTATCTTAAAACATATATTAAATCAAATTTACTTATTATAAAATTGCTTGCTTTTTTAAAAAATTATAATTTTATTAATATATTGATTTGATATATAATTTATAATATTAAGATGAAATTTTACATAATTTGTTTGATAAAACAATTTGAATTTATTTCAATATTCAAATAAAAACCAATATAATAATTTAACAAAACTAAATAATTGAAATTTTTATATAATCTACGGATAAGAAACAAATAATCTTTGGTTGAGTATAAAATTTTATTTATCAAAATAATTTACAATCAAATAAATAAATGAAAATATGTTCAATACTACTAGGTAAAAAAAAGACAATCAAGAATAATAAAGAAATTTAATAGTTTTTTTAATACAGCTTTAAGTGAATTTTAACTTTAAAAACTAATTCAACCAGTAATTCCGTGTATTATAGATGACTTTGATGAAAAAAATTCTGTGTAGAATTGGTTGATAATAATTACGTGGTTTTAAAGTAAATATTAAAGTAATGTTTATGAACGAATTATTGAGTGTTATATAAGTAAGATAGATTATACTAATATACAATATTGCTCAAAAACGCAGATGCAAACAATGAAAAATGTTGGCTTTTAAGAAATAATACAAAAATTTTTATTAAATATAAATAAAATAAAGACAATATAGAATTCAATAAAAAGTTGTTTTAAAAAATTAGACTTTTCAATAAACTTTATAAAAAATATTTAAAAAAATTTAACCTGAAAAACGTGGATCTTAAATTTTTCTTTTAAATATTTTCTTTAAAGTAATATTTACAACACAATTAGACTCAAAAAATTCACAATAATATTAGAATTTTAGTTGAAGATGATTTAAGAACTGTAATAACACAAAACCGAATTACAGTGAAAAGAAAATTAAGCACATATTTTGTTGATAAAACCTGTATTAAGTTAAAGAAAAACACGTGTTTGACTTGCAAATATAGTTTTGGCTAAAAAATTGTTTAATTCTAACTTAAAGAGTATTGTTTTTGATTTATGAAAAATCACAAAGAATCTTATTCTAAGATTACACAAAAATTTAATGATATATTAAAAAAATATTTCAAGGCAAATATATCAATAATTAAAACTAAATTGAACTTGTAACAACAAAACCAGCAAAAAATCACTTCGGAAACATGTGAATATAAAAAAGACTTTATTTATAAGAAAATTTTTAGGTATATCAAATGAAACCCTTAAAACAATAATTTTACCAATGAATGTAAGTTTAATCTGTTAAACAGTGATGTAATAAAGTATATTATGTATTCACTAGAGATTACTTAAATTTGAAAATACAATTCCAACTGTAAAATATGGTGGTAAAAGTGTAATGTTTTTGAGTTTTTAATCATACAGTTGGGATGGTAGAAATGTTTTTGTTGAAAATATTATGAATAATGTTTTATATAAATAGATTTTTGCATAAAATTTTAGACAATTAGCATCTGAAACGGGTCTTGATAAAATTGTTCTTATCTAGTATAATGATCTAAAGCATATAGTATTTATCAAAAAAATGATCACTTAATAATTAAACTAAATAAAAAATGTTAAATATTTTTGATAAAACAACATATAAATATCACTTTTCTATTATAAAAATAACAGAGAATAAATAAAAATTGTTTTTTTACAGATAGTTTATAAAAATATGAAATTTTTTCAATAAAAAATGTATATTTTTTATTTTGCCTTCAAATTGATATAAAAACGATGTTTTTGTAATAACAAACGGATATTAAATTATATAATTAAAGTATTTATTTGCAACGATTTATAAAAAATATTTGGTCAATGGGTTGTTTCAGAAAAAGAAATGTTTCAAAAAATGTTTGTTTATAATATTAATAAGAAGTTATTGGAAAACTTTTTAATAATCATATAATTTGGATCTGTTATTAAAGAAAGTAAAAAAATACAATTTATGATACAGATCACAAACAAAGTATTATAACCACAAAGAGTATATTTGAAAAATTTTTTATGAAAACTGTTTCAAGAGTATTGAGTAACTTTTGACTAATAACTGCTTAACCGGTTTAAAAACCTCTGTTGAGACCTCACAACATAGTAAAAAGAAAAAACTCGTTGAAAAATTTTTAGATGTTTTAAATGATACCTTAGATACCATCATATTTCCTAATGAATGTAAGTTTAACCTTTTTACATCTGATAATATTAAACATGTTCGTTATTTACCAAATAAAAGGTATAAATTTGAAAATAAAGTAGGTACAGTTGAGCATGGATGACGAAGTTTTATGTTCTAGAAATGTATATCATCCAAAATGTTGATAGGTTTGTTAGGGTTGAAATAACGATTACAACTAGAATTTATAAACAAATTATTGCACAGAAAAATAATACTTCAGCTAGAAAAATGGGTCTGGTTGAATATATTTTTAAGCATGATAATGACCTAAAACATACCTCTAGTTATATAGCTAATTGTATTAATGAAAAAACACTGATTCATAAATTTGCCTTACTAGAGTCTAGATCTTCATCTAATTAAAGTTTTGTGGGTTTATGTTAAAACCAAATTATTAAAATTTGGTAAATTAAAAGAAAATGATATAAGATATTTGACACGGAATACCCAATGAATTTGTGTTTAAATATGTAATAAGTTTTTTTAAACGTTGTTTAGAGGTTTTTTAAAATTAAAGTCATAACACTAAATTTTAAATTTTAAAATGGTTGTTTTTTTTGACAGTTTTTTCACATTTTTTTATAAATTATCTGTAAAAGTTTAATTTTTATTTATTCTTTGTTGTTTTTAAAATAGAAATGTGAAATTTATATATTTTTTAGTCTATTGTTTAAGTGGTCACTTTTTGAATCAATATTGTACTAAAAGTTTGTTTTAGATAGGTTAAATGTAAAAGAAGTTGTAGTATTAGACTGATACTTTCAAAGTCTAGATATGAACCCTGTTGAAACAGTATAGACATTAGATGAATTTGGTAAGTTAAAAAATAATAAATTAAAAGGGAAAAAATTAGCATTTGGTATTCAATTCTCGTTAAACTAATTCAAAATTATGTTATAAATTTTCATAAAAGATGTTTAATGGTTTCTACGTCTAAAGGAAACAATATTAAAAATTTTAAAAATAAGATCATCTTTTTTAGTCAATATTTTAATATATTTTTTATAAAGTCTATTTTTAAGTATAATTTTTAAAGTAACTGGTTGTTTAACCATATATTTGTGTTTATTTCATTTATGATTATAAAAATTATGATCTGTTTCTTAAAAGCTTTCATTTTTCTGTTTGTCTGTTTTTTTAGAAATACTGCAATTCCGCGTTTAAAGTAGTTGTGATTCTGCCTATAGACAAACCTTTCTTTTCATCCTCAATTTCACGTTAATTACTTTCTTTTAAAAAATTCTTTATTACTAATCATTAATAGAATTCACAAGAAAATTATTTTATAAAAATTTAAAGTTTAGAATGTTCTTTTTTGATGAAGGTAAGACATGTATGTACAGTTTAAAAACAACGAGATAAATTTAGTCAAAATCAATAGAAAATTAAATGTGTTTATAATAAGTTTTTATTTTTAACCCTCAAAATGGATCAAGTAACAAAAAATAAAAATTCAATAAAAAAGAAATATAACAATAAAAAACTGTTTTATAAAACTATGTTTTATTTATTTCTTATGATTATTGGATCTTTAATAACTGTTACTGTTATTTTTTGGAGCTCTTCAGAGGTTACCAGTTATTCAGTAGAAGATGATTTTTTAATCAAACTAAATAATTTAAACATCAAAAAACCTTCAGATTATCATGATTTAAAACAAACTTATGATTTTTTAAATGTAACCTCTAATGATAATGATTTGAATTCTAATTTAGAAACAAAGAAATTTTTAAATGGACTAAATGGATTTTTTAAGTTAATAAACATGAAAATAGGTAATTTGATCAGTTCAAAATTACGTAATTTTAATGAAAATCAATTAAAAACACAACTTATTAAAATTTACAATGCTGTTTATGGATACTTAATAAAAACAGAAGGTAAAGAAAAAGCAAGAAAAATGATTGTACCAATTGGCAATGTATTAAGATTTTATTTTGCCGGTGACAAGTTATCTAATGAAAAAAATAAGAGCTATACATTACATGAAATTTTCAAATCTAAAAATGAAAACTTTTTAGATAATTTTTATTGGTTTATTCCAAAAATGATTCTGAATTCAGAATGTTTAAAAGTTTCTACAGACCAATTTGAAGATGTATATTCTCTAAAAATAAGTCCTGATAGTAATTTTTTTATGCCTTTTATTTTTTTTAGACTTTTAAGAGATGAAATGAAAATTTTAAAAAATTTGTATGTGTTAAATCTATATTTAAGTATTTCTAAAGTTTTAAATCTTTTGTTTGTAAATGAAGACTCTCAAAATTCACTTGAAGACTATAAAGATCAGAGAATACACTCAATTTTATGTGCGATATCTGCATCAATAAAACTTTTAGAATTTACAATTGAAGGTTCTGAAGATTTTTCATTAATTGTAGGTTATACAGCTTTAATTGGATCATTCTATAAAGATGTCTATAAAATTAACAATAATCATGGTTATTTTAATATTACAACAGTTTTTAATGCAACAGTTGTTGATGATTTAGCTTAATAAAATAAGTTTAATAAATGCTTGTTATCTTTTAAGATTAATAAAAAAACTAAAAATTCAATTGATTCCAAATTTTTTTATTGATTGTTAAAATCAGAATTTTAAATAGAAAAAAGTTTATTAAAGATACTATCATATTTTTACAAGATATTTTGTTCAAATTCTTATATTAAAAACTTATCATTAACACTCATGAAAATAATCATTAAACTTTTTTTATATTAATCTCATCAATTTCACCCTTTTTTGTATTAGAATTACTTTGTTTTTATTATAATTATATTTATACAACGTTTTGTTACTACTAACTAATATGTTGTTTTCATTCAGATTAAATAAAATATTTTATTAAATTTATAATTCCTAATTAAACATATAAGACTATAGATTACTATTACTTTCAAATTAAATAAAAATATCATACTTTAAGTTTGAAATTCATTAATCTTTTATTTAATAATTTTTAATATTTTATTGTAATACTTATTTATATGTATACCATATCTTAGCATTATATTCTGATGTATTATATTTTTCATCTAATTTAATTTAAAAAATTCTTTATATAACTTTATTTGTTATTAAATATTATTTATTTCATATTATACTAATTAATATTTAATATCAAATAAATTATAATATCAAGTAGTAGTCAATATTTTGAAAATAAATAATAAAATATTTGTTGTTTTATTTATAAGATTCTTATTCTTTATAGCTAATAATTATGTATCTTCTAAGTAATTAATATTATTAAAAACAATTTAACAAAAATTTGTCCAATAAATTTAAACTTTTCTTGTTTAAAATAATTATCTAATTAGAATTAAACTTATACAAAATTTATTTTGTATTCATCCTTACCTTTCTTTATTAAAATACCTCTATAATTTAAAATCTCAATCAATTCATTAGGTGATTTTTTAACATTTGTCTTCTCTATTAATTCAACCAATTTATCTTTGTTAATTAAATCACTTTCTGTGATATTCACATAATCCTTTAATAAATCATCAATTTTAAACTTTTTAAAGTTTTTACCCTCATTGTCTTTAAAAAGATAAATTTTCTTGTAAAGTTTTATTGCAACTATTGCATGTTCCTCTGAAGCTACCGTTTTTAACTCTAATTTGGCTATTGATTCAGTTAATCTCATTAATGTTTCTAAAACACTAATATTAACGGTATTTTTTTGATCTAATTTTATACTTTGATAAAATTCTTTAATCTTATTTTTTGCTATACTGCTTAGTATTGGATAAACTGTTGATCTAGCGTAATCTATATATTGTCTGATGTCTGATAAGGTGTACTTTAAATCACTTTCCTCATAAAATTCATTCCTTCTCTTAACAAATGATATTAGTTTACTATCAGTATATTTACATCTATCTATAATTTGATTGTACATTTCGTAGTTTTCTTTCCCACTCATTTCATCTTTTAAAATATAGATCAAATCAAATCTAGATAACAAAAATGTGTCTATGTTTAAATTCTCATTTAAGGTTTTGTTTTTGTTAAAACGACCGTGTTTAGGGTTAACAGCTGCTATAATTGTACACTTAGCTGGTATTGTACAAACAATTCCTGTTTTTGTAATTGTAACAATTTGATCTTCCATTGCTTCAAATAAAGTTGATTGTTCAGTTATTTTACCTAATTCGTCAAGACAACAAATTCCATTATCTGATAATATCAAAGCACCTGCTTCGGTTATATATTCCCCTGTTGCTTGATCATGATTAACAGAAATAGTCAATCCAGAGGAAGAAATAGAACCACCTGAAATATAAAACGTTTTTGGTATAATACCTAAACAGCTTAATAGCATTCTACTTTTACCCAACCCTGGATCACCCACAATTAAAACATGTATTTCTGATCTCGTATCAGAAAACCCCACATATTTTTGTGTTCCTCCAAATAATGATAATAACAATCCTACCTTTACATGTTCATGTCCCACAATAGAACTAAAAATATTACTTATCAATATTCCCATAATATTTTCCTTAACATTAAAGAGTGGGTTTTTCTTTATTACATTTGTGATAACCTCATTATCACTATATTGTAGAAGTGTATTCTTTTTAATATTTAAATTATTACATACAACTTTCAATTGATATATATCTTCTTCTACTAGTTCACATTTCACTTCTCCTATAACCTCAATTACATCTCCAAGACCAATTTCTAATATAAAACTTCCATAAAGAATTACATCTAGTGACTTCGAATTTTCTAAACAATATAATTCTAGTAATTTTATCTCTTGTTTATCCGTACATCTATTTTCCGGATGATCTCTTAAAAAATGGTAGTTTTTACTTTTACATGAGCAAGTAACTATTGGAACCTTGTAAACATTATTAGTTATCTTTTGATTTACAATCCTTTTACATTTAAAACATTCAAACATTAAATTAGTATTTTCAATAGACTTCTTTCCAATTTAACATATTGTTCCAGTTATTGAAATAATCTTACCCTCATTTTCTGGCTTGACAAACTCAAATGACTCACTTTTCTCCACGTTAACTATTCGAGTTTCAATCTCTATTAATTCAGAATAAGAGATATATAATATTTCACTTATAGCACAGCATATACATTTTATACTTCCTATCTTCTTGTATAATAAATAATCACAATAAAATATTTTTGATTTTTTAATTTCTTCAAGATTAGCAGTCTGTTCTAACAGTTTAATAGCCTTAAGTACGTTATTTATATCTTTATTAAATATAGTAAATTCCTCTTTACTATAATAAATAATCCAAGCCTTTATTTCAGGTAAACATCTTTCATCTTCTTCTTTAATCTCTAACATACACATTTTATGCGATTATAATTTTGCTTAAATTCATTAAAATAAGCTTAATCTTTCTCTTATTTTTTTATCTTCATCAATATTATAAAATTTATTCAAAAAATATTCAAGATTATTACTGTTTTTAAAAAACTTAATATGAAACATTTATATAGTCATTATTCTTTATTTTTAACTGTCTTACTTGGAAATAATAAACTATCGTGTTTACACTAATTAATGGTATTACTTAGGTAAGCCTTCCTCTTCATCCTTAATAACACGTTAGTTTTTACTTTTAAATAATTGTTTGTTGGTAGTTAATTAGTAGAATTTATAGGATAAAAATTTTTAATTGATTTAAATTTAGAATGTTTTATTTATGATATTGATACGATATTAGTCATATTATATATGTGTTGTAGATGATATTTTAAACCGTTTAAATTAAAAAGTTTTTTAAAAAATTATTATTGTTACACAAATAAGTTATTGGTTTACAATTACTGGCCATCAAGATATTTCCTTTGTCGATTAAACTTAAATTTGATTAAATTTTTTGAAAATTCTCTTTTTCAACTTGAATAAACTATCTATATAGTAATTCTCTTTCCTATCTATTTTATCAATCCATTCATATATATTATCTCTTAAAACCTCTTTCTTTTCTCTATTGTCATTATATCTTAATATTATTTTTTATTTTTCAAAATCGAACTTAATTTATACTAATTTTTAATACAGATTAATTGAATAATTAAACTTTTAGAAGGAGAAGCAGTGTTATTTAATTAAATTTAAATACTAAAAAATTATGAAAATTGAGGTTAGTGACAATTAAAGTTGTCAACTTAAACTTTTTAAAAGAGAAAAATATTTTAATATATTACATCCTTAAAAACTCAAACTTAAAATAAAACATTACCATGTCTTGCCATGGTAATTGATTTTGTTGTAATATAATTTACAGAATATGATTATGCTCTATTATTTAATAATTTATTTGCGTTTGTGTTAGTAGCTAATAAAGTAAGTTTATCATAACTAATTTAATTAACGATAAAAGTTTATCATCAAATTTAAGATTAAAAGTTTCTAAAAACAAAATTTATATAAAAAATATGTATTGGAAACAATATTTAATTAATCTTCAAATTGTTGATGTGATGATACCACAAACATTTTTATTGGAAAATATATCTAAAAAATTATAGAATAGTCTAAATGTAATTTTTTTATCTCATTTTATACTTTACATAAAAAATAACATTAATTCTTTTACTTTTATCAGTTATCAAATATATAAATATTAGTTGATAATTAATTTAAATTAGATTAATTTTTTATAATATAAAGCAATTTTTAATATTATAAAATAGTTAAAAATATGATAATTATAATTAATACCAATTATAAAACATATTATCTCAATTTTAATGAGTTTAATTATAAAAATAAAGGATTTTTTATTTTAAATTTTCCAATAAAACATTTATTTTGAAGAAAACACTCTAAAAACAACAATATACATTTTTATAAAGAGTTTTTTGAGATTTTGATAAAAATTTACTAAAAATATTCTTTAAACTAACTTAATCTCTATTAAGAAACTTTATATATTTCATTTAAAAATATACAAAAATAATTTATTTTTAGTTATATAAAGGTTTTTAATTAATATACTCCTATCTCTTGATTTTCGATAAAGTTTTTTTAGAGTTAAGTATCAAATTTTTATTTATTATAAAATTATTTAAACAGTTATACAAAATCTTTAAGAAAAAACTTTCTATATAATTTAATGTTAATAAAAATATCATATAATTAAACAAATTAAATTTAAAAATAAAATTCATTGAAAATCTTATTTGTATAAAAATGTTTCAAATTGTTTCTTTAATTTTTTAAAACATTCATTTATTTTAAAACATGAAAATTTTTGAAAGGCTTTCTTTTTTTATCTTCTTATCATTACTCGTTTATAATTTAGTTTTTATAATTAAATATTCTTTCTCTATAAAAAACAAACCAACTGACTCATCCACATTAAAACTTTTACATAAATAGTTTATCTTTATTAAATAATTAACTATCTCTTATAAAAATCTTAAATTAAACTGATATTTTAATAAAATCATCAATATCTATCACTTATAATAATTTTTAAAAACTTATAATTCTTTATCTTTCTTAATAAAAAAATTTTAATTAAAATATTATTATAAAATAACAATAAAACATAGAATTTTTTAAATTTAAAAATAACATCATTTTTATAGTAAAACTATAAAAATATGATGTCATTTAGATGTATTCTATAAAACTAATAATATTATATTAATCAACAATAACTTTATACTGTTTATAAAATAATTGCCGAAATCGGTAGAGGATGAACAACCAAGTTTATTTAATCTATCACTTATAATCTCTCTATCATCATCTTTGACTCTCTTATCATTGTCATCTATTGAGCCTTTATTAACATTATCTCTATCATCGTCTTTTCTGTTAATG